TATCAAATGAGCATTAAAACACTGCACTCTTATTAGACATTCAGCTCCGGCACAAATCAGTGACTAACACTGAGTCATTGAACTGTAGCACCACAGGAAAAAAATACCATTAGGAATTACTGGTAAAAGAGATTTTTATATCCTCCAAAGCTCCTTACTGAGAGTTTTCTCACATTTGAGAGTCTAGGCGCGATGCCAGTTTGATGCGTTGACTAAATGCACATCCTCTCTGTGGAAAACCTAAAACTCCACAGAAGCAACTTCACATAAGTGATGAACTCGAGTCGCTGATGTTTGAAAAATGTTGAGATAGTAAGGTTTTGTTTTGGTTCAGGAATAAACAGAACGATGGCGGCACAGTGGTTCAGTTGGTAGAGCTGCTGCCTCTCAGCGAGAAGGTCGATGATTCAAATCCCAGCCGGGGGCCTTTCTGGGTGGAGTTTGCATGTTCTCTACGTGCATGCATGGGTCTTCTCCAGATATTCCGGTTTCTTCCCACAGACAAAAATATGCATGTTGGGCTGACTGGTAACTCTAAATTGTCTCTAGGTGTGAGTGAGAGAGTGAATGGTTGTCTCGTTTGTCTCTGTGTCCCTGTGATGGACTGGAGACCTGTCCAGTGTGTCCTCCGCCTCTCGTACAATGACTGCTGGACATGGGCACCAGTGACCTCTAGACCCAAAAAGGAAGAAGTGGGTCAAGATGATGGATGGATGGATGGACGGATGGCTGGACGGACGGACGGAAGGAAGCATGATAAAAGCCTACCATTTCTTAAACTGTCCATTTTTGTCAGCCAAACATCAATGTCAGTATATCTGTTTGAGTAAATAATAATAATAATAATTAATAATAATGCTCTACAAGACAAACTGAAAATGAAAGAAATGTTTGAACAAAACAAATAGATGCTGACAGGAGAGTTACCACCCTCATTATCTGATCTACATGTTAAGGAACGGCTTCTCAAATAAACATTATCTCCATTTTTAATGTGTAAACATTCTCTGTTAATAAACAAGCCAATATGCCATTTTAAAAGGGTCAGTGTATTCACACGTTAATGTTTAGAAAAGAAGGCAGAGAGACGCTGATGAATGGAAAGAATGAAGGGGGTGAGACGAAAGTTATATTAGAGTTACAAAAAACCTGAAGGACTGCAGGGGTAAACAAAAGCCCCCCAGGGACCCAAAGCAATTGGAAATGCAAACTGATGCCAGCAGGTCTATTCTAAGCATTTATTAAGGAGAATTGTACTGTATAAAAATATCAATGATGCAGTGAGAATGCTTTACTAGTTGATTTAGCATTGTACATTAAACTTGTTTTGGTGTTTGTGACACAGATGTGGCTGGACTCTATACATATCTTCTTTTTTTTTCAGCTTTTCCCTCTTCAGGGGTCACCACAGCGAGTCATCCTCCTCCGTCTCAGTCCTCTGCATCCTCTGTCCTCACTCCAACTACCTCCATGTCCTCTCTAACTGCATCCATATATCTCCTCTTTGTCTTTTTCCTGGCAGCTGCATTTCTAACATCCTTCCAGTATATCCACTGTCCCTGACATGTCCAAACCATCTCAGTCTGGCATCTCTAACTTTATATCCCAGTTGTTCAACCTGTGCTGTACCTCTGATGATCTCATTCCTGATCTTATCCATCCTTGTCACTAATAAGGAGAACCTCAACATCTTCATTTCTGCCACTTCTAGTTCTTTCTCCTGTCTTTTTGTCACGGTCTCCAGACCATACAACATGGCTGGTCTCATCACTGTCTTTGTATTTTAACCGTTGCTGATACGTTTTAGTTGCAAATCACTCCTGAAACTTTTCTCCATCCACTCCATCCTGCCTGGACTCTCTTTTTTTTCACCTCTTTACCACACTCCCCATTTTCCTGGACAGTGGACCTCACGTACTTGAAGTCCTGCACCTTTGTGACCTCTGTTCCTTGTAGCCTCACTGTTCCACCGGCCTCCCTCTCAGTCACACACATGTACTCTGCTCAAACACGTACTCTGTACATGGAATCGATACCAATAAAAGGGTTTTACTTCTATAAAGAGCTCATTGTTACTATCAAGTGTCAAAAAAGCAGCTTTTACTCTAACAAAGACATCGCAGTTCCGTGAAGTGATTTTCTGTTGAATCTTAAAGAAAGACGTAAACCAAACATACAGTTTGCACGCTCGTAAACACAAAGTACTGCAGCAAACAGCAGCTTTACACCTAATTAACAGACACAGCAGGTGGGTCTGAGCAGCGCAGGAGGATAAAACCGAAGAGGAAACGCGAGAGCTCTGGAAAATTAAAACAAATCGAGTGATCAGCTGATAAAGCCAAGGCGTAGAATAGAAAAATAAATAAAAATCATTATGAAATCCCACAAGACTGAATACCTGCTGAATGCTACAGCTCAGAACAATAGCACGTTAAAGACTTCCCATGAAGCTGGTCCAGATGTCTACCTGGATGATTGAGCCTACAAACCTTCATTCGTGTCACACTCCACCTTTTAGGCCATAGTTAGACTAACTTCATATGCTGAGAAGTGACAGAGCCATTGTGTGGTCAAACTGTTTAAATGATGTCTTCAGCAATCGTGAAATTTCAAGATTTACTAGAGTTTTAAAGTATGTGTTGACAATGTTTTAGCTACTACCACATCAAATTATATCTCAATATCTGTAAATCTGACCACGTTAGAGCCATTTTTGTGTTAAGGTTGATAAGCCCCTTCTGGAATTGGGTTAGCTCCAAAAATCAGTTGTAGAGAAGTTGCAAGCAAAATTCATTGACCTGTCAATTAACCTGAAGTGAATCTAACAAAAGTCCTATTTTGTTAAGAACTGCAGTGATTTGATGCTTTATGTATACATTGTTGATCCTGTTTTTATCAAGAATTACCATTAACTGAAAAAAGAAAAACAAGTACAAAAAATGTTATAGTTGCTATGTAACCTCTTAGATTTTTCAACACATTTCACACGACATTGAGCTATTCTTGCTAAAAAATAATAGATGTGCTGTCCAGGTTGCAGCTTTCTTTGTTTTTTTTTCTGTTTTGTATTTATTTTTTGAAGGAAAGGTCATGCTTGTGCAAAGCTGCATACGCCTCGCCACATGAAAGAAGATGGACGTGCTGACAAACACGTGAACATTATGTTACCAGTCACACCAGGCCACACAGACGAGGGATAATACTCCTGTGTCCTCCGCTGACATTTTACAACACAGTCGCTGTGCGCTAAAACAGCTGGATATCTGTTAGTCACATCTGGACCCCTCACATGTCTTTCTATACTTGCGAGGATGTCTTTTGATAACTTGCACTCCTAATATAACCACATTTAAAACTATTCAACATTCACAAATCAAATTTTTATCCTTAATAAGCCTTTTGAAATTATTTTAATTGACCTACATATTTCAAAACTCTTTACAAAACTATGTTTTTTTTAATGAAAATAGGTTTACAATAAAAACAGTGATATTGCTACATATATATCGCTATATACATATATATTACTATATATCAATTTATATCACAATATGTCTATCCATCCATCCATTATCTTTTACCCGCTTCTTCCATTTTGGGTCACGGGGGTTGCCGGTGCCCATGTTTAGCAATCACTGTGCAAGGGGTGGGTACACCCTGGACAGGTCGCAAGTCCATCTCAGGGCCACAATATGTCTATATATCGCTAAATATCGATATATATCACTATATGCCTATATATATATATATATATATATATATATATATATAATCAGGTCTCTTTTGTAAATGAGTCCTCAAGACTCAATGGGATTTACCTGTCTAAATAAAGGTTGAATGAATATGTCTATATATTGATATATATCACTATATGTCTATTCAATTCAATTCAAAAATACTTAAAAAAAATTTCAAAAATACTTCACATACTTCAAAAATACTCAAAAATTGCTATATAGTGATATATGTCACTATATGTCTATATAGCACTATTTATTGATATATATATATATAT